GAATGAGGACGAAATTTCCGAGAATGAGGGCACACTGAAACATCATGAAAAGTACTTCGGTGCCAAAGAAAAGTTTCAGAAGATGCCGGAAAATGATCCTTTCCGAGAAAGACATCGCGGCGCGTGCAAGAGTTGCCATGTCATTGGAGACGATTATGCGAAAGGGCCTCTCGTATTCTGCCAGGGATGCACCAGCAGTTTCCACCATTCATGCTTGGGTCCTCGGGCTGCCCGAGACCATCTTGTTACTAAAGTCACCGAAGACTTGTTTGTCCTTCAATGCCGCAATTGCCTGGGAGTCGCTCATTCGAAAGACCCAATTGTTCCTCATCAGGGCCATTGTGCTATCTGCAATCGCGAAGGGAACATGTCAAGGCCACTGCGGGATCGTCTAACGCCGAAGCAGGAGCAACAGTCTCGGCAGCAGAACGGTGGGAAGGATCCTATAACTTTCATCGATATGTCGCGGGTCAATAATGTGGCTAATCTACTATTCCGTTGCACTACTTGTCATAGAGCCTTCCACTTCGAGCATCTATCTGACGTCGCTCATCTTACGTGGCATTGCCAGGACTGTGCTTCAGTACCGGGAGAAGTCGGTGCTATAGTTGCCTGGCGACCAGTCGATCCAAAGGCGAAAACCGCGAAAGAAGCGGAGCGGGAGTATCTTATCAAATGGAAGAATCAGTCCTACGGCAACGCGACCTGGATGCCTGGAAGTTGGGTCTGGGGCTTTGTTAACCATATCATGCGTCGGGCCTTTCTTAAGAGGAACCTCGCACCGCAAAGGACTATTGAAGAGGCTGTTCCGGAGGACTACTTGCGCATCGATATCATCTTCGACGTCCGTTATTCTAGCTCATCGCCGCCTGGAGAAAGCAAGCAGCGGTCCTATGAAACAGACCTGGAGCGAATTGACAATGTGTCTCAGGTATATGTCAAATTCAAAGGCCTTCCGTATGAGGATGTAGTCTGGGATACGCCTCCTGATCGGAGTGATGCAGAGAGATGGGAGGACTTCAAAGCTGCTTTTGCGGACTGGGTCAAACGGGAATATGTCCGTCAGCCGAACCAAGAAACTTTAAGGAGACATCTGGCCAAGAAGAGAAAGAAGAACTTCCAAACTGATCTGGTCAAAGACCATCAGCCCACCATTATGACGGGTGGTGAGATGATGGACTACCAACATGATGGTGTCAATTGGCTCTACTACATGTGGTTCAAACAGCAAAATGCTATTCTTGCCGACGAGATGGGTCTTGGAAAGACAATACAAGTCATTGGCTTCATGGCTACCCTGATTCAGTACCATAGATGCTGGCCTTTCCTAGTGGTGGTGCCTAATTCCACCTGTCCCAACTGGCGCAAGGAAATCAAGTCATGGGTTCCTTCAATGCGGGTGGTGACATACTACGGGTCTGCATTTTCTCGCAATCTTGCCAAAGAGCATGAGATGTATGCTGATGACGATCCTACTCTCCGATGCCACGTCGTCGTGACTTCGTATGAGACGATGGTTGATGATGCATCCCGCAGATTCCTGGCAAAGATTCCCTGGGCCGGCTTGATTGTTGACGAAGGCCAACGGCTCAAGAATGACAAGAGCCAGCTTTATGAAGCACTGTCGCGAATCAGATTTCCGTTCAAGTTGCTTTTGACCGGAACTCCGCTCCAGAATAACATCCGAGAACTATTCAACTTGCTTCAGTTTTGCGACCCGTCAAAGAAGGCCTTTGATCTCGAACAAGAGTACGGCACGCTTTCACAGGAGAATATTACAAAGCTGCATGAAATGCTACGGCCTTTTTTCCTGCGACGGACAAAAGCGCAAGTGCTCACGTTTCTTCCCCCAGTTGCCCAGATTATTGTTCCGGTCTCGATGTCTGTGGTACAGAAGAAACTATACAAATCTATCCTTGCCAAAAACCCTCAATTGATCAAGGCTATCTTTCAGCGCAATGGGGCAAAGGCTTTGAAGCAGGCCGAAAGACATAACCTGAACAATATTCTCATGCAATTGCGCAAATGTCTGTGTCATCCATTCGTCTATAGCAGAGCCATCGAGGAGAGAACTGCTGATAGGATGAAATCTCATCGGCACTTGGTGGATGCAGCTGGTAAACTTCAATTGTTGGAATTGATGCTCCCGAAACTCAAGGATCGTGGCCATAGGGTCCTCATTTTTAGTCAGTTCCTCGAAAACCTCGACATAATCGAGGATTTCCTCGACGGAATGGGTTTACCACATCTTCGCCTCGATGGTAGAATGACTTCGCTCGAGAAGCAGAAGACGATCGACGATTACAACGCACAAGATTCGCCCTACTTCGCCTTTCTTCTCTCGACTCGGTCTGGTGGAGTGGGGATCAACCTGGCTACTGCAGATACTGTGATCATTATGGACCCGGATTTCAACCCCCATCAAGACATGCAGGCGTTGTCGCGTGCTCATCGGATAGGGCAAACGAACAAGGTTCTTGTCTTCCAGCTTATGACCCGGAGCAGTGCCGAAGAGAAGATCATGCAAATAGGCAAGAAGAAGATGGTCCTAGACCACGTTCTTATTGACCGCATGGTGGCGGAAGAAGATGACGGGCAAGATCTTGAGTCTGTGCTCCGTCATGGAGCTCAAGCCTTGTTTGATGACGATGACTCTGGCGATGTACGATATGACTCTGAGTCTGTCGATAAGCTCCTTGATCGCAGTCAAGCCGAACAAGCTAAGGCGCCCGTTGAAGGTGACCCGGAGTCCCAATTCAGCTTTGCTCGGGTGTGGGCAAACGATAACCAGAATCTGGAGGATCGCCTCCAGGAGATGACTGAGCAGACTGAGCAGACTGTACCCAATGCTGACATCTGGGACAACATTCTGCGCGAGCGAGAACAAGCTGCAGCCGAGGAAGCCAGGCGAAAAGCGGAGACATTTGGTCGTGGAAAGAGGAAGCGTACCAATGTTGATTACGGCAAAACTGCCAGGGAATCGTCCCCCGTCGATGATCATATAATGCGACTAGCAGACAGCGACGGAGAGTACCAGGTCGAAGACGCCGTTGACTCCGAGTCTGACTTGGCCCCTGAGCTAGACCGTGATGAACTGGCCATCATCCCCAAAAAGACTAAAAGTAAGTGCCCGATCCCCCTTCAATTGGGGTTATTCGCATTTCGCTAATGCAAGCCACAGCTCGAGAATTCGAAAGAATTGCTCCCATCAACTTGCCGCTCGCCATGGATGGCAGTGCGGAACCTAACCAAACTCAGCAACCCACTTGTATTGCATGCAAGCAGGCTCACCCAGTTGGTTCCTGTCGCTTGAGGTTGGCTGGTGTTGAGCATTGTCCCCTCTGTGGTCTTGCCCACTATGGTTATTCGCGCACATGTCCTCATCTGAAGTCTGACGCACAAGTCGCCAGGATGCTGGATGCTATAAAGCATAGTACTGAGGAAAGGGAGCTCGTTCTCCTAGCGAAAAAGTATCTGACTGGTATTCGTGGCAACCTTGCACTGCGCAAGAGAAAAGAGGCCAGTAAGGCTGCAGCAGGCGGTGCGAGTCTTCCTGCCTCCACCCCTGTTGCAACCAGCTCCCCCGTCGTTGACCTCACTACTGAACATCGCATGGGGCCAGCTGGTCAAGCATTGATGAATCCCGGACATTCTTTCTCTTCATCTACTCATGCATCTCAACACCATCCTACCAACGGAGTGTAAATTTAACAGTTCATCGAGAGGATCAGGATGCAGCAGGAAGCAGCAGGAAGCAGCAGGTGGCGGTGGTGGTTTTGTGATTTTGTTCTCTTTCCATAGGGATTGATTCAGCGTTAGTTGCCTCCGGGGTATCGGAGTTCGTGATATCATAGCATTGGCAGGAGTTGCATGAAAAAGCTATGTAATTACATTTTGTTTAGAGAAAGCAACTGGAATGGACCTGAGGCAGACAAATCGGGGGTCACATGTTCCTTCCTGTTTGGCTCCGGTTGGTTCAAACCAGAACATCCCGCTGACTGCATCTCGTTTGTGGATATCAAATTCAGGACGGAACTCGAAGTAGACTTCATTCCGTTTGTTGCCATCCTCCTCCTTTTTCCGCGCATCGCGTACTGCGCATTTGCAGAGATTTTTCGCAATACCGTTTGTGGATAATGCTGATTTGCTCATTCGTTGGATCGTTCGTGTCACCAACGTCACCCGCCGATATAATCGTTACTTACTCCCTCCACGTTGCCAGCAGACCGCATCGAGGCTTATCAGACACATTGTGTCAATCTCAGGACTGGAAACGAAGTATGGGTCGTTCCTATTAGGTGACACTCTGTCAGGGACAGCACGGGCAAGCAAAGAATGCCTGTGTATCAACATTGATCCTTGACCATTGACCATTGAATTCGTCCCGGATTCAATTGATGCAGAGAGAAAGCATGGTTCAAGTCAAGAGGTATGAGGATGGAGGGGATCAGTCCGGTACGAGATATCACCCAGAGGCTGAATTTATCGAAGAGACAGCAATTGCACCTTTTCCACAAGAGCGGACCAAACCCCCCATAACATGCGACCAGCGAGGAGGCTGCAGCCATCCGGGACGGTTGTACTGGCGAGCATCATCGGACAAACACTGACGGCATTTAGTCATGGCTGGATCTGGACCCTGCGACTGCTCTTATCCTCTGCGGAATCTTCGCGCTGGTATTTCTTTTTCTTTTTTCTGGTCTTTTGCCAATATTCGGCCGGTTGAGAATCTTTTGATTTGCATTGGATTCTCTGGGCGGCGAACATTAGATGTGTTCTCAGACTGGCTTTTTATACTCCTGTTCCTGTCGCTTCTTTTTTGCGTGACTGTTTCTGCAGGGCTGTTAGTGATATGACACCAATCTCTGCAAGCTCACACGCCTAGGTTGCTCTTTTTCCTGGAGTGAATGGTGTATCGTTCTCTGTGTGGTGTTATCAACCCCTGTTGCCAACGCCTGTCTCAGTGAATGTTAACTGATTTTTTGCTGGCCAGTGATTCACCGATCTTTAACACGGTCTTCCTTTCTGTTTATTTCTTTGGATCCTCTGCTCTCTTCTTTTCTTTCTTAATCTCTTTGCTGTGGTTGTGTTCTCTTTACTTCCATCCCTCTACTTCTAGCTCTCCACCATTCATCCTTACACTCTTTCCTTTCCCATCTCTCATGGCGATATACTTCATCTTCTAGCATAGGTTATATCGCTTCCTGACGCTCAGCTTCTCATCCGTCTATCCCTGCCGAAGACTGAGTTGCAAGTTGGCGCTGCCAAGCAGCCATGTCTTCGCCGATTCGCCCTCAGTTTTTCTGTACTCGCCCAAATGGCACCCTCACTCCCCTGGTTGCTGTCGACGAGCTGCCCTCACATATCTCAATCCGCGGTGCTCCCCGTACCCTCTCGCCAAGCGAAACTCAAGGCATGACTAGTCTGGGTACTGTTAGCTCTAGATTGCAATTCTATGTCCTCGAGGGCACTCTCCCACACACAACTCGCGCGTCGCCCGGTACCGCACCTGGACATCGCTCCCGCGACAATGACGTGCAGGCGACGCTTATGAATCTTGCTTCCGATGAAAATATACCTGTTAGCCAGAGAGTTGCTATCAGTACGCTACTGCAACATGGTGTATCTCAGAACTGGTTTGCGACACCTTCCTCGTCCAGCGGCTGGCTGGTCCCAAGCAGCAATGTGAATCCCCAAGGAAACGGTACTGCTAGACAGGTACGTGTTACTCTACATGCGATGCACTGAAAAGAAGCCGAGTTCCAAGGTAACGAGTTTGATTGACCCTCTTGCAGAGCCCCCACTACAACTCGAAGAAAGAGTACTGCTCCTATTGGATCCGTCATGGCGAATGCGACTATCAGCAACAAGGTGAGGGGCTCATGTTACATTTGGTCAGCATAAATCTAACACTCGCCATAGGATGCCTCTATAAGCATGAAATGCCTCACGATTTGTCCATGCTAGAGAAGCTTGGTCTGCGCGACATCCCTCGCTGGTACCGCGATAAGTTCAATATTCCCAGCCTACTTCCCAATGGGCATGGACATCCTCGTACCCCCCTAAACCATACACTCCCTGCACCCGATGCTGGTTCCTACAGCAGATCGCTTCCCTATCACCCGCGCATGGGTATGAATGAAGTGCTTGACGCGCCTGAGATAAAGAAGGAGCCTGAACAGGAATTTGCTGCAAACCAGCTCTCCATCCAGCAATCTTCATTGGGATTTCCTGGTGCCTCGAGACTCGCTTTTCCGGCTACGGACGCAGCGAAAGCTTCTAAGACTCATAGGGTAGAGCAAAAGCACACTCCCAGTTCCAAGAGTGTGGCTCTTAGGAAGCTCGATCTTCTGTCTTTTGATCCGCTCCCGGAATTCCAGGAATATTCATCCTTGAGGCCTGCCAACGGAAACAACTCGCCTGCTTGTGACTATCCACGCCCGCATGAGAGTACTGCTTACAAGAACGTTGTTACCGATCCTTTTGAAGGCACTTGCAGAGATTCGCGTGGAAGTTTTGGCCGTATCCCACCTTTCCTACCTGCCTCTCTTGGTATGAATCCGTGCCAGGGTTCAAGTATCTTACGGGATGCTGTACCTCAGGGACGTTCCAAGAAGACCCATAGGTCCCGTCGTTTGTATCAGCCTCGATCACAATTCCCATCGGATGATCCAAACTCTGAAATGGAGGAGCGAGTCGCTGGGGCGAGCTATTCTAGCCAGGCCACTCTTCCGTCAAATTGTGCATCGCCTGCCTCGAAGGTCACATTTGGGACTTTCGGATCTCTCCAGACGCATGCTAACCCGAATCTCATGCATGGATGTGCCGCATCCGAGCCGCCTACTCGAGATGCCTCCCCTTCTACACACTCCAGTACTGCGTCGTCGGAGTCCAGCCCTGGAAAGCGTCGCAATCGCGTCAAAGGCAAGAGCCACAAACCCAATTCCGGGACCATTGGTCAGAAGATTTATCGCGAGCGCTCTGTCGGATCTTCCGAAGATGAATTTTTCGGCGGCTTGTCCATGGAAGAGGAGAAGTAAATAGAGACTCTACTAGGTGAGACCGGAAGGTGCCCACACGTCTATGGTCTGAGGCTTTCTTCTACTTGATCGGAAACCAGCTGTTTGTTCTTCGCCCATCACACATAAATATGTGACTTTGCGGCTTTTCCAGGTGCTACGATGCGAATTACTATGATATGCTACACGGGATCTCCTTTGCGAAATAAATATACCTTTTCTGTCTCAAGGAACGGAGGACTCCCCCACTTGACTTGACGTTGACGTTGGAATGAGAGAAAATGGAGGTTCTGTTCGCCTACTACTACTACTACTACTACTACTACTACTACTACTAATCTAGCCTTGAAGGCGAAACTTGTATCTGAACACACACAGTGCTTCTTTCCCGGCGCCGTTCGCACATCATATGTATGCTGTCAATACTATGTTGGCTTTGTTTTTCTCATTTTCTGATTTCCAAGTTTCCTCTTTTCCAGTTTTCATTTTCGTTGCCTCTACCCCCCCTCTCTTGTTCGGAGAAGACACGGTCTCGTGTGCGAAATGTAATATAGCAGAGGTCATGTCTATATTTGGATGGGAGTTGGGCGGAGGCGATGGATTTCGAACATGTGAAATATGGAGCACAGGCATGCCCTGATGCAATGAAACAGCCCTTGAGCTTTGCAGATGCACATCACTCATGGAAGATCTCGAACATAATAACTCTTTGGAGATGCCGTAAGCACACACACCTTTGTACTCTTGTAATTCGCGAGGTCGCTCGACGGAAACACAACCAAGCCCCGCTCTCTGTGCCATACCTGTGGAGTTTGAATGAACCCTCCTGTGCTATATCTGTGAAGATGGAATGAAGTATAATACATTGATATGATGAATCTAGTACAACCGTGCAGAAAAGAGCAAATTGCGCCACCCTGTTTTGATCTGAGCTTACAGAGAAGTTCCGGGAAATTAAGACAAGAAGACAGGACCGGAAGAAAGAAAGGAAACCAGAAGAAGAAAAGAGCTCCATGACAAGACACATCATACACACATATACACCCCGCAAATGATTCCTGATCCTCACACCCGCAGGCGCGCGTGCGCGCATTAATCATCAGAATCTTATGTGTACGCCGGGGGGATTGATTCCCTGAGCACGTCCACCACCACCACTATCACCACCTCCTCCTCAGCGCATTCTACGCTGCGGAGGTCTAGGACCGACCCTCACACCGACCTTCGCGCCCTTCTGGTCCTCCTTGCCCGAGAGCCTGGGCATGGCGGAGGTCAGCGCGGGCAGGGACTTGATGGCCTCGGAGATGATCTGGTTCCCGTCGACGACGGTGTCGGGGAGTTGCTCCAGCTGCTTGCGGGCCTTCTGGGCGGCGCGCCTGGCGTCGAGCTCGCGGCGGCGCTCGGGGGTGATGGCCCACTCGTCGGGGAAGCGGAGACGGGTCTTGGGCTTGTGGTGGCGGAGGTCGAGCGGGACGTCGGCGAAGCTGTCGCCTTCCTTGGCCTCCTTGAGCAGGGACTGGATCAGGTCGCCCAGGTAGCGCTTGTTCTGGGCGCGGTGCTGGAACTTCTCGCACGACATGCGCACGATGTCGGTGTCCGGGTTGTAGCGCACGCCGACCAGCTTGAGGAAGGTCTGGCGCTGGGCCTCGGTCAGGTGCTTGGGGGTCAGATCCTTGGAGGCCAGCTCGACCACGACCTTGTGCTGGGCCGGGTGCTCTTCGCCCATGTAGGTCGTGTACCGGAAGCGGAGGATGTGGGTTTCGGGGGGCAGGGTGAAGGGTTTGGCGAGTTCTGCGAAGGGGGACCTGGGGTCAGCGCTTTTTCTTATGGGGGGTGCTTCGTTTCTCAAGCTGGGAGGTGGGGGATCAAAGTTGAAGTAGAAGAATGGCAGCCCCCCCTCGCCTCCTCCCAGGATTCAACGAAAGACAAAAGGGAAGAAGAGTTAAGTCATACTGCTCAATGACGGCATATCCCAGGCGGCGATCCGCGCGTATTCTCTGATCTCACGGTGCTCTTCCAGCTCGGCATAGGCCATGGTCGTCATGTCGTCGTCGTTGAATTCGTCGTCCATATCCTGCACCAGACCGAACTCGTCCGGCTCCTCCTCCGACCAGAATCCGTGCGTGTATGCTGCTTCCGCAAAGCGCCAGGGCTGTACTTGCTTGTCAATCGCGGCGATTCTCTGGTCGATCTGGGCCATCCGGGCCTTGCGTTTTTCCGGGTCGTTGAATTCAGCGATCATGCTCGTGTTCGCCTTGTCGAAGGCCGCGCGGTCTTCCGGGGACATCATGTCGTACAGGGACCGCTGCTCCGGAGTCAAGTTCTCGGGCGAGTACTCCGGGAGATTGGGGTAATCCTCCAGGCGCCGTGGGCGAACCTCAGGGATGACCGGGTCTTCGGGCATGCAGGAGAGCGGCGTGGCGGAGAAGGAGCGGTAGGAGGGGTTGGCGATGGGACCTCTTCGGGCCAGGAAGAAGGCCGAGCGGCCCAGAGACCTGGCTACTGAGGCCATTGTGAGGGGAGGGGGAATGGAATGGAGGGGGAGTTGTAGGCGGAGGATTGGAGGGTTTCAAGGTTGGATGTTTTTTTTGATGGAGATGGGATTGGATGGGATTGGATTGGGAACTTCTTTCTTTCCCGGGCCCGCAATCCACTATCCCCTTTGGGGAAGGCGGCCCTTTCACCGCCATCCAAACTGCCGGACATTCTTGACTCTATGCGAGTAAGTAGTAAGTCCGCTTCGCATCTCATCATTTTCTATGAGTACGTAACAAACATAATTAACTGACACTTGCAAAGATATGTCATGAGTCACCACTATAATTAACTGACTGTTGGTCAATTTCATTCACATCAAGCCTAAATCAGGCATGCATGACTTTGTCTAGCTGGCTGGTGCCTAGTCACAGTGCTGATAATCGCTGATCATCAACTTCTTGGTTCCCACTTCCGTTGCATCGATCCACCTATCCTACCATATACAAATCATGCTGAGTACGTCTACCATGGCGATGCAAGACCAGCCCCTGAAGTTCTGCTTCGTGACTGTGGGAGCTACCGCTTCTTTCAACCTCCTCATTCAGTCGGTTCTGGAGCAAACCTTTCTACGTGAGCTGCGTGCACACGGTTACACCAACCTGCTGGTCCAGTACGGCAAAGACGGCAACACCCTCTTCGATGAATTCCTGCGCCAATTTCCCCCGGGGAGTGAGGGCCAGCACGGTCTGCTGATCGACGGATTCGACTTCAACCCCGACGGACTGGACAATGAAATGCGTCTTGCCAAGGCACGGCCCTCGGAAGGTCGAGTTGGTGGGTTGATTATCAGTCATGCCGGTATGGTTGCAACCTTGCCGATGGACTTCACAATGCGCGAGCTGACCACCATGAATCCTAGGCTCTGGCAGCATTATGGATGCATTGAGACTGGGCGTGCCTCTTGCGGTGGTCCCGAATCCGACCCTCAAAGATAACCACCAGCAGGAGCTGGCCGATATCCTCCAGGAGCAGGGTTATCTCATTGCGAGTCACTATCAGTAAGTTCTTCAGTCTCTGCTTTCTTGCGTGGTGGACGTCGAATTGAACTCCAATTAGGGATGTTGCGACAGCAGTCGATAGGGCTGAACGCCTGCGAGTTCAGATGGCCAAGTGGCCGCCGGTCTCCAAGGCCCAGGAAATCCCTCCGCCGAGCCTGGATCAGGTCATGTCTGACGAATTGGGTTTCTTGGATTGATTGTTTTTGACAGCCCAGTATCTCTTACTTCTCATCGCAAATGAACTGTTGTTGAGGAACGAATTGCCATGGCGTTACGGGGCGTGGGTGCTTTAGTATAGAAGAGGAATGAGATGGCTTTGGACGGTTGCAATCACCAATGGCGCATTAGCATCCATAGATGAGGACTCGTTATTTCGCTCCGCTAATGATGAACACGTTTATCATTTATTCATCCTCTCAAATTTGAACCCGAGGTACGTAGTATGGAAAAAGGATACCTAGTAGGAGGAAGTCGAGGATTGGTGGTGGAGTGGCCCAAGCTTCTCCGCGCGGGCAGATCCAACTAAACCGACTGATTGGACTTATGAGTACTCCGTACTTTCTTTCCCTTCCCCGAAACGCGCAAAAAGAACCACCACCGACTTTCTTGTCCTTTTCTTCTCCTTGCTCTTTCTCCCTCCCACGCATTGTTCTTCTACCATCTATGTCCTTGGAACACTATATCTCACAAAATCAAACGTATTCCGACCGATTCTTTTATCTCACTAGCCATTAAAATCGGCCGCGGGGGCCTTCCACTGCATATAAACAATCGACGGCCCAAAACACCCGCTCCGAACCTCAACCAGCGCTCCGTTTCCCCTTTCCAGCTTCCTCCCCACAATGGCAGAAGCCACCCTTCATAACGCCCCGATAGTCATTGACAATGGCAGCGGAACCATCCGCGCCGGTTTCGCGGGGGAGGAGATCCCCTCGTGCTTCTTCCCCTCGTTCGTCGGTCGGCCCAAACACCCGCGGGTGATGGCCGGTGGCCTGGAGGGCGACGTCTTCATCGGCTCCCGCGCTCAGGAACTGCGCGGCCTGCTCAAGATCCGGTACCCCCTGGAGCACGGCATCGTCACGGACTGGGATGACATGGAGAAGATCTGGCACTATGTGTACGAGAACGAACTGAAGACGCTGCCGGAGGAACACCCCGTGCTCTTAACGGAGCCGCCGCTCAACCCGCGCAAGAACCGCGATGCCGCCGCCCAGATCATGTTCGAGACCTTCAACGTCCCCGCGCTGTACACCTCCATCCAGGCTGTCCTGTCGCTATACGCGTCCGGCCGGACGACGGGCGTGGTCCTCGATTCAGGGGATGGAGTGTCCCACGCGGTGCCGGTGTTCGAGGGCTTCGCCATCCCCAACAGCATCCGGCGGATCGACGTGGCCGGGCGGGATGTGACGGAGCAGCTGCAGCTGCTGCTCCGCAAGAACGGCCATGTGCTGCATACCAGCGCGGAGAAGGAGGTGGTGCGCATGATCAAGGAGAAGGTGTGCTACGTGTCGTTGGACCCCAAGCGGGAGGAGAAGGACTGGATGAACAACTATCACAAGTCGGAGACCAAGTCGGTGGACTATGCTTTGCCGGACGGGCACAAGATCAAGGTACGAGTTTGTGATGAGTGGGCGGGGCATGTTTTTTCTCTAATAGCTACGCATAGATCGGGCAAGAACGCTACCGCGCGCCGGAGATCCTCTTCGACCCGGAACTCATCGGTTTGGAGTATCCGGGAGTGCATCAGATTGTCCAAGATGCGATCACCCGGACGGATCTCGACCTGCGCAAGTCCTTGTACCTCAACATTGTCCTCTCTGGAGGCTCGACATTATGCAAGAACTTCCCTGATCGGTTGATGCGGGAGATCAAGCGCTTGGCTGTGGAGGACATGAAGATCCGGATCTCTGCTCCTGCTGAGCGGAAATACACGACCTGGATTGGCGGAGGTATCCTCGCTGGTTTGAGCACATTCCGCAAGGTAAATTGCATCCCGCATTTGAATTTCGTTGGAGCTGTGGCTAACGAGGACCACCAGATGTGGGTGAGCGCGGACGAGTGGCACGAAGATCCTGAGATCATTCACCGGAAATTCGCTTAATCGTGAGGCATCGCAGGACGACGTCCCGACTGAGGACAACATGACATGATCGACGGACAACAATCCCATCGCGCAGAAGTCAGTGGATGCTTCCGAGGGCACGAATGACTAGTATGCACGAAGGGGATGGTTGTCTAGACAGGTCCCTGAAGAAGTTCGGGGCCAAACCATAACCAACAGCAGTCTTTTCATAGATACCCCTGCCCCTTTTCCAATTTCTGTCTCCGACACTCCAAACAACCTATCCACCACTTCCAAAGCACCCCAGATGATACGTTTCGTGCATATCTTTCTCGACAACCATACAACCCATCACTTCTAAGTATGTCCCCTATGCACGCGCACGCGCACGCGTACACGTAACCGAGACGTGTTGCATTCGAACCCAGCTGTCACACCTCTCGGCTTGGCAAGTATCCTCACCTGGCTCTGCTGGGACGGATCATTCGCCAAGCCAATCGCAATTCGGGGTCTTCGGAATGAACCCTCACTGCTGCTGAGGAGTGACTTGAACGAGTAAATTGAGCGATGACAGTCCACATTCTTCTCCTTCTGCTCCTTGTCAAGTGGTCTCTCCAACCTCCGTTCTCTTCGACTGTACTTTTTGTGTAAATATTGAATGGCATAGATGAGATGAATGAGCGATTGACACAATTTCTTGAATGACAGCTGCATGGCACCTCTTCCCTTTCCTCGTCTGCGGCCTGCAACCTAAAGCCCAATAATGAGCATTGATTGAGCTCGCAAAGAGAATCCACCGGACTGTACATCTACCAACAACCAATCTGAAGGAGTAGATCGGGTGCGCATGGTGACACCAAGCCCCCAGCCCCTCGGTCCTCAAACCCACCCAATACTATACTGTACTATTCTATACTGTTCCACCATCTTGACGCCTCGATGCAGGGCAATCGCCGAACAGTCTAGTCTAGAAATAAGTCGCCGTGCTGTTGGGTCTACATGTTCCCGACCAATTGCGTGCGTGGGATCTCGTCTTGCATGAACTCCAGATACTGATATCAGGTGTCAGGTGTGCGCAGTACAACCTTCCTGGATGGATTGATCGGTTTCGTGTCCTGACGAAACCTCGGGGATATGCTGCTACTGCTACTGCTACTGCTACTGCTACTGCAGTGTAAATCGAAAGAGAAGAGATGCAGTATACTATAGCTCCGTGATCGCCGAGACTAAAAGACCCCCAGTCAAGAAGTACAATACAGTGTCCTCAGGCAATCAGGCAATCAGGCAAACCCAGATAGATTTAACCTTGAAAACAGAATTAGAGTACCCTCCGTCGAGTCGGTGCTTCTTACCCACGTATAGACTCTCCACCTCAACTCCAACATGCCACGACAAAGATCCCAATTCACTCCAAAGTTCGTTTATCCGCTCCCCCGTGAAGACGATCTCGATACCACAAAGACGACCACTACCACCACCACCCAGCTCATCAAGAGCGGAAATCATGCCCACAATTACGACGTCCCCAGCCCCGCCAAAAACCCACGCCCAAATTGTATGTATGTTATGACACCAATCCATCCAATATGTCACAGTATGAGCACAGCACACCACAGCACAGACTCTAGACCACCTTCTAGAATAGAATCTAGACCCGACAACCCCCCCCCCAAAACGCACTCGAACCTCGGGCACCTACTGGAAGGGCGAAAAGAAAAGACAGAGCGAAAGAAAGAGAAAGGCTTTCTTTCATGTCCTCATGAGTAACTTACTGTAGGTAAAGGTTAAGTAAGGTTTGGAGCCATTCCGAGGTGCTGACGTCTCCGCCTCCCGGATTTCCCGTCCTTCGTACGTACTTCGTACTCGAGTTGGTGAACAGCTCGCGAGGTCTCCACTTCTGCGTAAGGGTTGGGTTTGTTTGCGAGTACGAATCTCTTCGTTTGTCCCCCGCACTCTGTGTTTTGTATGCAGGCATCGGTTTTGCTGGGGCTGCACTACTCTGGGGGGGCTGTGGTTATGCTTACAATAAGGGAAAGGAATGATTCTACAATGGAAGAGGGGGAAAAGTTTTTGCTTGTCTGTTCTTGTTTCCATTCCACACGCTCTGGGGAAAGTAGCTATCTAAAGGGGTTGTACAGGAGATAGTTTTCGTTTCATTCGTTCGTTCATATGTGAAGAATGAATGGTTGCATGGTCAGGTACATGAGCTTTAGCTTCGATTATGCTGCGCTGCGGTGGATGAGGATCCAGAATTGCTGTGTTGAAGTTTGAATGGCAGACAAGACAAAAGAAAAAAAAATAGAAAAAAAAGTAGAAAAAAGTAGATGCCATGCGATGTTGATCCAGTACTGAATCAGCTTGCGAACATAGCGATTGGGGTATCATGTTGAAGAGATGTGAATGCCATTCGAAGGTTGAAAGTTTGAAATGTTGAGGTGAGAGTTCCCACAAACTCAAGGAGTGTGAACGGTAGCACCCCTTGTTGGTTGAAGGTTCAAAAGAAATTAGATAGATGCGTAGTTGTGTTGAGAACAAATGCATGTAGAGGTCGAATCCCCCAGGCCGAACGTAAGGCGGTAAAATCAAGAACTTTTTTTGTGGTGGTGGGAGTCGTAAAGTCGTGAGTCATGATCCAGAAGGACAAGTTCGCAGGCGCTTTGGTGAACAAGCAAAGGCTGAAAATGAATAAGTGGAAAGTCGCAAAGGACGGCTTTGCTGGTGGTTGGTTTGGTTGTCGTCCCGGGCTGGCTGGCTTAGGCCATGCCCCGGAGCTTGCCCCAGCCCTTATTCAGACCTCGGAGAGCACGCTCGCGCGCGGAGCCAGAGCTACTGCTGGTGCCGTTGCTGCTGGCGGAGAACTTTCGCGACAGGCTGCTGGACGAGTCGTCGCTGAAGACCATGTTGCCGGCACCGCCGCGGCCGACGTGGTAGACGGGCGCAGCGCGGCGGAGCTCACGCTCCAACTCCTCGTCGAAGCTGAAGATGGCGCGCTCGCTGCCACTGTGGACATTCCCGGCGCCGCCCCGGCCAGACTTGAAGGTGCTGGGCACACGCGAGTCGAGGCGCGTCATGGAAGCCGGCCCGGAGGCCGTCTGCGAAGGAGTGGTCTTGGTCCCCTTGAGGTTGATGACATTGCCGGCGCCTCCACGAGCCGTATGCAGAGCGGGACGACTGGTGTGAGGAACCGATGGATGCGGTTCAATGACTCGATATGATCCCGGCATGGTGGATTGTGTTGAGGTGTTGTATGTGGGTTGTGGTGGTGTGCGGGTATGAAGAGGTATGTATGCAATTGCGCTAATCGGCGATGACTCAATGCAGCGATGATGCAATGCGATGAGAGACAAGACGTGCAATTGGGACTCGAACTCGGTTTATATGCGAATTGGTATCGAGTCGAGGAGAGTGTGGGGTAGTAGGAGTGAATGGGTGAGGTGAGTATAAATATCCCACAGAGGCTGAACAGTGAAGTATGAAGTGAACGAAGACACACAGCAGGAACTGTGGTTAAAGTATATGATTCAAAGAAGAAAAAGAGAAAGAAAAAAAATTCTTTTTTTTTCTTCTAATTTTTCTTTTTCCCTGATTGAAATCCACACCTTCTTTCAAGGATGTCGTGATGCTGGTACTGGACTAATTATCCACTATAGCCTCGACCCAGAGGTTGTGGCGGGGACGGAGTTATATAGTATGGGAGCAGCCCCCTTTGTGACGGCAGGACGACTCATGATTGCACCACGGGACAAGCCGAGTGAATTCAGTTGGAGAATTTCTGGGAATAATAATAATAATAATGGGAAGTTGAATTTCCCATTCCAGGCACCGCAAAAGAAAGAGCCAGCAAGAGCCAGCCAAAGCCAGCCAAAGCCAGCCCAGCCAGGGTCACACGCGGTGGGAAGTGGAGCGCCAGCAAATTTTCTGCTGGAGAAAAACGAGTGAAAAAAGAGGTTGCCGGCTGAACCGCGCGCATAACGTCGGATGCCGAGGCGGCGCCTGTAAAAGCAGCAGCATTGAGGAACGTGTGCGCACTACGCAGAAGGGGCAGGACTGGTCGGAAAGGGATCCACCACAGCCAAAAACATACCAAAACATCCCAAAACATCCAGTGCTGCTTTTACTCCTTGGGAATTGTCGCGATCATCTGACAAACCCGTTCCCACTCCCCGCGGGACTAAAACGTAACAGAAACTACCCGCTGCACCAATCAGCCGCAGACGCAACGCCCAGTGCAGTTTCCTGGGGGTAATGGAAATGGGCTGGTCAGTCACGCGTCATCGTCAAGTTCATTTTTTTTTTCAATGTGCTGCTCGGTTCTTTCCATTCTTTGCAGTTGTACTCGAGAAGTTGGTGAAGAGTCTATTGAAGTGTAAGCAGGGATGGACTAATTGTAAGTAAGGTAACAATTGCAACTATTTCAGTCTTACAGTTGGTTGGTTTTACAGTCTATCACATTGGCAATTTGGCACTCACTCTCTTGGTCTTCCTCGTGGCTCAGGGAGTGGTTACTCCCTACTCCGGACTACTCATACCTACTAAATTGAATACTGAGTAGTTCTGGAATTGAGAGCATATTTTTATTCTGATTTTTCTCAAATTGATTACTATTAGTAAATAGTGTGGTGGGCAGATGCAGACAAGCCACGCTAACCCTCATGGCTGGGCGCTGGGCTGCTGCTTTTCCCCGCAAAAAGCCATCGGAGGAACTGTACACTTGCATCATCGCTGTACATTCAGAATACTTTCCATACTTCCCATACTTCCCCCCCCTCTCGGTCACCTCAACAACGAGCCGAACAAGGGCGGAATGACCGCCAACCTGAGTACCCCTCGAGTACTGCGATTACGAGAGAAATAGCGCGAATGATGCCAGTTTTCAGGTAGTCATCCCACTGCAGGATGATGCTGATCAGGCACAACTAGCGGAATGGACGAGAAGAAGCTAATCCTGCCGTCGCTCGCAGCTGGAGCAGCTTGCACCATTGTGTGTTCCACGTCCCAGTGTCCGTGTGTCAATGGAAAGGGGGAGAATCAAGGCATCACCGGATGTGGTGGTGGTTGAAGACTCGGTTTGTTGTTGATGTTCGAGACCATCGACGTTTAGTCACGTTAGCCCCGATTGATCGTGCGAAGATCATCCACCCGCTGCCCCTCTTGCTCGCTCACCGCCCTTAATGAAACTGTGTGATTCAGTCCACTCTCTGCCCATCATGCTCATAGCCTCATTTCTATTGGCATTGGTGAGCCACAGGAAGAGCCTTGCTGGCCAAGGCTAAGTATTGAGGCCATCGTTGTCGTCGTTGTCGTCGTTGTCGTCTTCGTCTGCCTCATCAGGTGAACAGCTGGAAATCCCACCCAAACCGACTGGAGTCATCAGTCAACCCTGAGTAAGGATGGGCCGCTAGCCCCAAGAGGGACAGCTTCCCCAGAATTAGCAGAAATTTTTCCTGAAACGAGGTGACCGGCCCTAATGGAGAGGGGCCAAACGAAGGATGACGAGGGGGCCCCCCCCCCCCCCCCCTTTCTCCTCGAATGCCAGAAATGCCTCACTGTGCCAGTGTTCCCAGTGTGCAAATTCACACAGTGCACTGGCCACTGATGCTATTTTCCTCTCCTCCCAGGGGTATGAAATTTTCACCCTTTCCCCACACGACAGGGCTGCTGCTTAGTCACTTTCCTGGGCCAGAATGGCGGTTATTGCGAGTGACACTTGGCGCTGAGAGACATCTCCAACTCTCCAACCGTCTAAGGGGGAGGGGGGAGGGGGAAGGGGGAAGTGGGCGCATAACCCCTCGGATTGTCGGATTGTCGGTAGTAGTGCATGGATGTGTAAATTGCATCAAGGCATCAAGACATCAAGACATTTCCAGCGAGATTCTGGTTCCTGAATGGCCATGACAACCGAGCCGGTCCAGCCGGCAAATCACCGGCTCCGTATGCATTGCTGGCCTGAGGCGGTAAGGCGGCAAGGCGGCCACGGGAACGGTTCCAACTTCCAAGGAGGTTCGACTTGCTTCTTCCCCGGATTTTCCTGCCGGCATGGCTTGTTTCATCAGTCAGCATTTCTTCCTTTCTTGCCTGTCTCTTCTGAGGAAATAATCTTTCCTTCCCCTCTTTTCCCCGCTGCGAAGCATGACGTCCCCAACCAAACTTCACCTTCCTCTGGCCTTCCGGATCTTTACTCCGTAGCGAGGTCATTCTCCAGCCCTCGGCTGATGCTGGATCACATTTTCTCCAGGTGCTGGAAACGCCGACTACGCCGATTTGTGGAGTCAATGCCAGCACCTGATCATTACAATTCCCGGACTCCCCGCGGACAAGGTCATGAACCACAATTGCCGTCCCTTGAATCTGGGGTCAGAGTGCTACGTGTTGAGATCCAATTTTGGTCCTCAAGTACGCGAGAGGCAAGAACATGATGACTCACGGGACCAACCCTTCTGCCAGTGGCCAATTTGTCAAGCCCTTCCCCCAGCTGAGGTGCAACAATCATCCAAGGAACAACCTCCGGGGCCCCGGACTATCTCCTCTGTTGCCCTGATGATCATGAACAATCCTAGCCAATTGAGACTCCATTCACCGTTTTTCGAGGGATTTTGCATGGTTGGATATCCCTTTTCGTTTATTTGGTCTTCTGGCAATGCAAGGTGCCTAACAGTCGAGTCTCGGTTGGGCCTCGATCTCAATAGAGGATCTCGTTGTAAGAGCAAGAAATCGAGGGTCATTTGAGCTTTCTTCCTTGGTCAAAGTGACTATAGTGGCTCGCTTCTCTGAGACCCCGAGAATTACGACCTTGTTGTAGACATAGATAGTGGCACCAACTGTGAGTCAACTCTACCAATTACTGATGTCTATATTGGCAGCCTGCGAGACTGATATCTGGTCGGCAAGTCAATTCATCATCTATGCGGTGTATAAAAAACCCGCTAGATGGGCTTCACATACTCGAGTGGGATCCAGCTGGTCTGGACCCCGTTTTTCTACAGGGAAAGCCAACGCGCAGCGGGTATGAACATATATACCACGACGGCCCAGCCTGAGACTACTGGTCGTGATGGGGGCAGTTGCTACTCACCGTAGACAATGAAGAATCATTTGAAGAGTTGAAGGATAGTCGTAGTATAGCATAATTGGCACAAGACTACCTGCCTCAACAAACACATCTGAGCACAAGGAGATCTCTGGGACCATGCAGGACTACAGTTTCCAGCTAAGGTATTGCAATATTATACCGTCCCACGGACAGTCCACATTGCAGCATTGGATCTTTGACATAGCCGTGAAGGGACTAATGTTCCGCCAGCTCAGTATAATCATAGTATTGACTGATGATAAGTCCACACATATGCATGCACACAATGTGCCGACTTGCTGCAGCTGCTTGTCGGCAGGATCCAGGTACTGTACTATAGATAGGGGGAGCCTGAGGCTCGACACCTGGGCTGGGTATTCTGCCCCGTGATACCGCCTTGATATCGCTTCGAACTCCGCCGCCAGTTATTCGTCTCCGACTCAGTCAAAATTTCCGAGTATTCAAGAATTCCACGCGCCAAACTCATACCTCAACGATTTGAACACCCGGCTCTCATCTTTTGCTCATACAAACGCGCTTCGCACACCTTGAACGAACCGTCCCGCCCAAGCGCAACGCGCCATCGAGCGCTGCCGAGCGAAGCTTAATCCGCCTCCCAAGAGCAATCGCTCTCTCAAGATCAAGATGCCCAAATATAAGTATTCGACCACTTGCTCATCAGGAAACTACTGACAACTCCTTACTCTTCTGTAGGTTATCCTCTCTTATGCGATTATCGGACTATGCGATTCCAGTGGTTTGGTGCCTGCGACATCAAGAACTCCGCGCACATCGCGAAATCCCATCCCGGTGCCTTTCAACCACGCCACAACAGAACTGACCGACACTTTCATGCAACAGGTGACTACTGCGATGTCTACCTTACGCACGACTCGATGAGTGTGCGCAAGGCGCACAACTCTGGACGCAACCATCTGAGAAACGTGGTGGAGTACTACCAACGTACGACGTCCTTCGTCCGATGTCAGACCTGCAATGAGTCCGCAACCGTTATCTAACACGCTCACAGAGATCGGACAAGAAAAGGCCCAATCCGTCATTGACTCCATCACATCATCATACGCCGCCGAAGGCCAGGCTGTACCCAACCCTGCGATGGTGCCCCCGGGCGCCTACCCCCCTCCCTTTGGATTTCCCGGTATGTTTCGCGACGTGTACACCAACGCTCCGAACGAGACCGAAAGATTGATCGACGACTGATTGAATGCTTCCAGGCCGCCCAGGTCAACTTCCTCCTCCTCCCTTCGGGATGCCCGCACCTGGTGCAGCTCCCGGAGCCCCAGGCATGCCTCCGCGTACGTGCCTCCCAGTTGCATACATCCTTTTCCCCTTCCCGCACGCAGCACTCTTCCCTCCTCAATCCCAAATTCTAAATTCTGTATATATATAATAACAAGCTAACGAGACTCGCAGCCCCTGGAGCAAGAGGCCTTCCCTTCCCATCCCCGTTCCCCGGCGTCGGCGGCCCCGGTGCCCCCGGCGGTCTTCCTGCCCTCCCCAACATGCCCCCCGGCGCCCAGGGATTCCCTCCCATCCCACCCCCCGGCGGGTTCCCAGCTGGGTTTCCCACGCCTCCTCCCGGCGCAGCTGGGTTCCCCGGCCTGCCTCCCCCGGGCCAGCTTCCGCCAGCCGGGTACAGTCCCAGCCCGACTCCCGGGATCAATGGCCCGCCCGGCTCCGATGCATATGCCCATGCTGCTCCGCCTCCTGGCATGGGTTCTTCGTCTCTGCCCGGCCCGCCTCCGGGATTGGGTGATAGACGATGAAGAACCTGTCCTGATTGCTTTGCATTTGATTCCACATCTTTCCCCCACCCCAAAACAACTCATGTACTCTTTGTTTCCCCCCACATGTTCGAGATTACCTTTTATACCTCCTCCCTCCACCTTGAAACGCTTGGTCTGTTGCTTAAGACGGGTGGTCATGTTTCTGTTCCTCATCATCATTCTAAATCCCGGCGTGGTCTCTGAATATCATTTTCGTGAGTTTGGGTTTATCTTTCTTATCTGGTGTTATCATGTTTTATGTTCTTCTTATCGAAATAAAGGAGGAGTGGAAACAGTTGATTAGGAGAATGGAAAAAACAAAGATGATTAGAAGAAGAATGCTAGTTGCTAGCTCGCAGACAAAAAAGCACGCGCGCCTTGTGGTTAGAACGCGTCTCTGCCGTTGAATGCTGGGGCATCTAGAATACCATGTCGCCCACATCTACATTCTTCGGCCCTCCCCCATATGGGGCACGGCATGGAAGTAGGTATCATCGCCTACGTCATTGCAGCAGCGATCATCCTACAGATACTTCCTCCTTTTTTCCTGTTTCTCTCTCAGTTATTCTCCGTTCCCCCAAGACGCCCGAACAAGATAGACATATCACGGGATCGGAGTTCACTACGAAACTCAGGAAAAAGACGACTAGAAGAAGCTCTTCGGACACGGGACGAACATAAAAAGAAAAAGCCTTCATTCTTCTTCAATTCCTCCCCAACCTCCCTTCTCTTTTCTCTATTATTCATACATCAAGGAAAGATACAAGGGAGAAGAAAAATATATAGGACGAAGAGGGAAAAAAAAGGAATAAATATATAAGATAAAAACAGAAACCCCCCATAGAACAAAGAGTATAACCGATATATATCCAGGATCCTTTGTTGGTTCAAAACGCCAGCGGTAGTAAAACGTGAGAGTAGTAGCAGTAGGAGTAGGTAATAGGGAAAGATGGGTTGATTGTAAGGAAGGAAGTAGTGAGCTCCTCCCCCGCCGGCCTGTGGTTCCCCCTTTTGGAAAAAGAAAGGGGGCGTCGGATGTCGGATAAGAGGTAAGCGGATAGATGGTAGGTAGGTGTAGGTAGTCTAGGAGATGGATGGGTCAGGTTGATTGGGGAGAGAGGAAAAAGGGGCGGGAGGGGGCTCTCTGGTATATCACAGCATATGACAAGAGATGTAGGCAAAAAACATGATAACAGAGAAGATGGATGAAGGTAAAAGTCAGAGAAGCAAGAAAAACCCAACGCACCTGGTGCGGGAAGAATTGTATAGGTAGTAGAAAGCTAGAATGGCTCGTGAATAGAGTAGAATAGGAGTCAATCCATGCCTTCTCCCCGCACGCGCACACACACAAGGCCATAACTTCATCACAAGCAAGGCTAGAAAGCAATTCAGGTGAATTATTCAACTTCAGTGATCATATCCCGCCCCTCTTTGCCATGGACTCGGGTTGTTTTGTTGTCGGTATGCGTGTGGGTTTTGCATGGGAGAGGAGGTGTAGCCACGCGGAACAGGCGATGGTGATCGTCCGAAATTGGCGTCGTGCGAACCGTTGCGGTTGTCGCTGGGAAATAGCGGCAACGAAGGGTCCACAGGGGAGGCCGGCGAGCGCGCAGCGTGGTTCGGCGAGGGCTCAGGAGCCTCGAGGTTCTGACGGCTGACACTGGCCCCGTTACCGCTGGAGAAAGACGCGTTATCATCTTCGAACGGGCTAGACTTATAGGGCGAGTTCTTCATGTCGCCACGTGCCGTCGCACCCAAAGCGTCCAGTTCGGTCGTCAGCTGGCTGCCCGACTTGATGAATGAACCCCGGTCATCCCTCATCGGCTGATAGCGTGTGTCCGGGTTCTTGGATACAATGGCGTAGATAGAAGCGACCAACACCATAATCAAGAGCACAAGGGCGAAGATGGCGTTGATCACGAAGAACACGACTCCCATGACACCAGTAACAATGCCGGGTTGATTGAAGACATTCGAGAAGAAGAGGAGGAAGATGACGTTAAGGAAGTTGATAGCAGCGATGGCGATGTTGTAGATGTTGGTTTTCTTGTCCATCCACGGACGCAGCACACTGACGGCGATAAGCATGCAGGCTTCGATAATAACCAAGGCAATAGTCTGGACGACAGGAGCCGGCTGACTCAAGCCGATGAACATGCCCTTGACGAAGATATAACCGAGGAAAGGAAGAATGAAGTAGTATGCAGTTGCGCGATACTGCACATACAAGAAACCCCACTTGTTCAGGCAGGTCGGGTCAGAGAAGAGAATATAGGCCGGATTTTTGTGCATCACAGTTGATCGGTTTGCTAGCCGAAGCACCTTGAGAGATGCCCAACCCAGAGCGGCGACCACCGACAGGAACATGACGATGGCCAGAACCACCTCCGCTGCCGAGTCCCGCTGGGTGAGCTCCCATAGACACAAAACAGCCATTTGGGGAAAGCCGATCAGCGTCAGCCGGAAGAGAATGCCACGGGCTACCACTTTCCAGCCGTTCCGGAAGTCCTGGAACTTGTTGCTCTTCATCCTGCCCTGCTTGGCCAATAGTTCACAGCCAAGCTTGAAAAGGCCGACCATGATCATAACCAGAGCAACGAAGACAACAAAGAAAATGAGACCAGTCATGAAGATGTTCGTCGATTCGATTTTGGCCTTGAAGCCAACACGCTCGATACCTCGTACAATGACGGTAGAGTCGGTCGCTGTCTTGCTGTTCCCTGAAGCGCGCTTGTGCATATAATTCAGATAGCCGCTAGCTCGTCTGAAAATGCCTTGTTCTTCAAGCTCGAGGTCACGCTTTCTACGTCTGTAGGTTGCGACCGAAGTTGTCGACAGACTCGATAGTAGCGTCGCAGCGGTACCTCCGGTGGCTCTCTGATACCAAGTACAAATATCCTCCAGAAAGCCGACATGGATGATACCCATACTCCACTGGAAGTTTTGGGTCCAAGCTTCAACAATCGGGGGCATATGTACCGATGTCATGCCAATCATGGCCTGAGACTGCATGAAGCTGAACAGGGAAAGGGCATTGGCTGCGACATGGGCTGCAGTGTTTGAGTGCCCCAATCCCGATGTGATGGCAGAGGCGGCGAGACCTAATCCGGAGATGACGGCAGTTGCCCAGCCGACACCCTTTTGATAAACCGTCTGGCCGTTTGAAAGCTCTGCCTCCATGCAGGTGATGCTGGAGTTCGTTGACGTGGAATTGATGTAGATACGCACACTAGCGTCGAGATCGGGAACAGTATAGGCGATGCCTAGGAAAGAACGGTTAGCAGGCCTAGGCGCTGCAAGGCATCGCCATTGCCATGGGGCGCTACTCACCTGGGATATCTTTGATCACCGACTCGGGGATGTCCAGGGTAGCTTTGGCAACATCAATGGCACCGGTATTCATAGGACAAAGGCCTGCGATGCCCATTTCACATGGGTCCAGGGTCTCTGACAAAACACTGATGCCGTAGGCTGTGAGCTGCAATTCCGCAGTGACGTAGCCGGAAATTGCTGAAACTCCATCGAAACTGAAGGCGAGTGAGCGATTGCCGGGAGTGAATACGACGCTGAAGTAGGTGACAGTAAAGTTGTTGCTCGCTTGGCATAAGTTCAGGGCGCTAGATTCGATCAATTTAATGGCATTCACCTGCAGGGCGTTGAGCAAGGCGAGGAAAAGCCCGAAGAGGATGGAGGATAATCGCATATTGACCGAGCCGTGTCCGATGACAACAATATCATTAACTGCCACGGAGGGGATCTGTCAAATATTTTATGTAGTAATGCGGAGAAGACGTAGTAATCGAGGCGGTCAAATCGAAGGGTGGTACTCCAGAGCACCAACTTGGCGCAAGCCGAAAGCGGAAGTCGTGGGAAGTCGAATGTCGTCCTGCGAGAGGGTTTTAATGAATCAGGTTCCAGGGAAGAGGTGCTTCCAATGGTCGAGGGCTGAGATGGATCGGTAGTCTAGGAACGTATCGTTGCGAATTACGGTTCACAACGTCATTGATGGTTCAAGGCGGTGGTTGGTAGAAGAAACAGGGTAAATGATCGGCTAAGTAATTCTATTTAGTCAAAGGAGTGACGAGAACGCAGTAGTTCGAGTATATAAGCGAGTGTCAGACTGGAAGTCGAGTAGTTTTTCAAAGCGAGTGTGTGGCTTAAAGAAAAATTGGAGAAATTCAAATAATGAGTGAGCGTGGACGGCGACACACACAGTATGGCCCTGGAGGAGTTGTCGGGAGGAGGGGTGGTGGTGGTGGTGGTAGAAGTGGTGGTGGAAGAAAGGGACAGGAGACCGGGTCGAATTCGGGTGCCTGAGTCTCCTCCCTTAAAGTGGGTGCGCTGCTTAAGAAACAACGTTCACACCCTCCTTCAGTCAAGTGAAGGGCAAGCCGAGCAAAACGAAAGAGAGAGAGAGAGAGAGAGAGGAAGAAAGAGAGAGACGAAGGGAAAGAAGGTAAGTACAAAATACAAGGGAAGCGAAAGACGAGAATGAAGAGACCTCTCTTTCGACGATAGTCTCTCTCACTATCAAGTTTCACACACTCTCTGCTTCTGCTTCGTCGTCGTTCAGTGTTTTCTTCAGGGGAGAAGAGAACGAAAGAGCGAGCGAGACCCGAAGCTGGTCGTAGGAGAGACGGTCGGGAATGCTTGTGAAACCACCTGAGACCCTCTTGCCGGCTGACTCAGCACGGAGGGCAGTTGGTCGGGGGCCAATCAACAGCGCGGGTGGCCTTGTCACGGATAGGTGGGGCTCAGCTCAATCGGGCTAAGCGCCCTGAGTTTACCTACCTAGTATTACTGGAGACTGTATTCTGATTACCGCTCCTCATTCACTAAATAATCTCGACAGTATACTGAGAATAGTACTTTATTCAATTTCTTCTGGGCCTACATAAATTCAGTCCCAACCCTGGATCTTTGGGGGCAATATATATAAAGAAAGGAATAAGAAAATCAAGGGAAGAGGAAGATGACAGAAATTGGCTGGGTCTTCTTGTTCCGTGGGGGCCCTGTCCCTCTTCCAGGTATGCACTAATGCTGATGCTGATGCTGATGCTGATGCTGCTCCTGCTTCTGCTTCTACTACTGCTGCAATGCTGATCAAGAAGGGCCAAAATGTCAATCAAAACAGGAATGAGAAATTTGCCGCTGGTGCTGACAGAAAGCTAAGCATACCTCTCTGGTGACCTCTACAGTGTGATCATTTGTACGGAGTGCTCATACAAGGTACCATGCAATGCTTAGTTACAGTACGGAGTACCATTAGTTATGCGTACTCCGTACCTCGTAGTAAGTGCACGCGCGTCCCTCAGGGGGGTTGGGTCTGGGCCGAATGCGGGTGTTCTCTCGCTGAGCTTCTCTCTCTCCCGTCGCTCCGCCCTTGACTTTGATTTGCCTTTCTCTTACCGCCCAGAGTGATGAACCTTGGGGCGCTGAAGTGGGAAAGCGACTGCGACTGGGCGAATCTGGATGGTCCCAATCTAGGTACCCACGGATTCTATGATTTGGAGTCTACGCTGGAGTTCCACTCGACTGCTGCTACCTACGTAGTGTCGTTGTCGTCGTCGTTGTCATACTTAGTCCACGTTACGTTTGGACTCTTTGAGGTCTGGGACACTCGAGCCAGCCTAATTGAGTGAGTGGATCTTTTTGACTACGAGTACGGGTGTTCATACTCGAGTTGATGCCCGTCAGTAGTCACTGGTACAGTACTACGGTAAGTAGGTACTGGGTATGGATGCGCAAGACTGCGACAAATCAGATCTTCGCTCTTTAACTTTTCTTGTTGCACTTGCACTTGACCTCGCCGGTGGTAGTGATATTCTTGCTATTTTTAAAACGGACATATGAGTAGTTAACTATTCACTCATACTATTTCCCACGAGCGAGAAGCTGAAACTGGTCGGCGCATATTGATCCAGTAGTATAAGCGGGAGACTATGCTGATCGATCCCGCCCCGTGCCTTTGACCATTTTTTATCCGCCCGCGAACTATGGTGTACCTAGTTACTGAGTGTACTGAGTATAAGTTAGGGCTCTTCTGGTGTCTAATGACTTCTCATGAACCATCGGATCGCTTGTCGTCGACTGCGCCTAGATTGTTCGATCTGGTAGGGCGTTAAGCTTGACTTCAGGTTGTCTTTGCGAACTTGAAAAAGACAGACGCCAGAGGAGTGTCAATTGACCGTACCATGCACCTGCTAACTACTACTGAGTACTTTGGGTTGAAATCCTCGACGTATTCGTATCCTTTTGCCTAGTTACAGACTACTACCAACAGCCCGAGCCTTACTGCACAGCCTCCCTCTACAGCAGTTGATTAACTCCAGGTCCTTCCCGCACAGCACCAGATGTGGGACTATGAACTCCTTTAATCAATCTCAAGCAAAGTTGTCTCTTTTACAGTGTACAACACGATCTGACTGATGGCATTGTGAGACAAATCGTACTATGCCCTCTCCACCACTCCGTGATTCACAAGCAAATGAGTCTTGACTACTCCGGAGTGTATGGAGTATGGAGTATTTTGTTTGTGCTCGACATCTTCTGTGCGTCCCTGATCAGCAAGGGAAGGGGCAGTCGATCTTTTACCACTTTAAAACGGTATCTGACTGTACACTTGGCCGTCCGTGTCTGCGCATCATGACGTCTTTCCCCATTGATCCACTCCAACCCCATACATTATTGACCATAGATTTGACCATGGGATATCATGTCTCAATCAGTAGAAGAGAAGACAGTCATGCAGCAATCGATCGAAGAATATCTCCATGAACGTTCTCCTCGAGGGGCTGACGAGCACCTGCACCTGCACCAGCCCTCCTCAGACCGGTCGGTACCTTTTACCTTAATAATCGGAAAAGAAAAAGGGTCCAAAGTTCAAACTCACTCCAACATGCTGGGCGCTGCGAACCATGGCACGCCCCATCCTATTTTTGGCATTGGAACTTGCAAATTCTTTTCGAAAATAAACCTACCAAAAAATTTGCGTGGCTGTCCGCCACACGATCCATTGTGGAATCTAGTCCAGCCTACGATGAATTCGAGCGGTCGTTCTGCTCCGCAACCCAACCCTATTTTTTCCCGTTGCGCATTCTTCCAGCCGACTTGACCTTTCAATCCGATCTCTTAGCTGTCAATGATCTGTTAAAACATGCAAGGTGCACTTTCCTGCAGTGACTTCACCCCTTGGGCTTCTGGAGGCTCTGCTCTGTGCAGTCCATGTTTGCTTGGTCCAGGCTCTCAGCCCCTAGCACGGTAAAACGTACCCGAAGTCCCGAGCGAACTTCCTTAGTCATTCGGTTGCCTAATACGCAAGCACTTTGGCTGGGGATCTTGTGTACGCATAAACCTTCTCAAGACACGGCTGGGAATCCTTAGTTACCCCCCCTACTGTACCCATGCAAGTATGTCAGTCTTTATGGACAAACAAGAACTCTCAATGGCTTTCAGTGCTATGTGAACGGATCTTCGGTTCCCACATTACAATGACGTGTCTACGTGCTTCGCGTCTCGGCTGCCCCAGCCGGCCGTACAACAATGGCATCCATCCATGTTCCAGCACACGCTTCCAATGAGATTCTTGTTGTCCAATCACAGAGCTCGCAAGGTGAGCATGGAGCAAAGGACACAGTATAGTATATACATACCGGAACTCGCCTTGAGTTACAGGCCTGTTTCATTTGACCATTGCTCGGCTGTCTTCAGACTTACCAGTTGGACTAGCAGAATGGAAGCTATAACAGCAGATCTGTCTCACGGTTCTCATGTCTTTCCGAACAACTAGAGAGCTTGACAGTTTGCTCCACAGCGGCTTCTTCTCCTTTCACGCCATCTTGGACGAAACTAGCGAAAAGGGGTAGGTTGGCGGTTTGCGCAAAGCGCCAGGCTTCCACGGAATCAAATGTTAGAAGTATACGAATCTTGCCGTACTTGCAAGAGGCTCACATCGTTCATGATTATGTTTGTGGGATGGGGTGAGGCCAGTTAGATTCCATTATTGCCCAATGCTGCTGTTCTCTTCTTCACAGTCAGATTCATATACTGCCGTACGTTTTGGCGAGGGTTGAATGTTGTCGGATTCTCCTGACAGAGCTCTTCTCCTTTTTTGTCACTTGGGTATCATTTCATGATTTCTTTCGTGGCTATGCAACCGAATTGATTGGAATAACAAGCAATTCATCGGCCTGAGACCGCCCCAAGAACTCCGCAGATTGCGGTACCAAGGACAGTAATGCGAGTGAGGGCTTATGTGGCAGGCAGCATAATTGTTATTTTCTAGAGCGGTCTTCTGTCTATGCGCAATCGTCCCTCAGAGATAACGTCGACATAATCCATGAACGTCAAGGCTTGCTCCTGATTCCATCGAAATAGAATGAGCCCAGAGGCTGAAGCGACGTGTTTTACGCGACTAGTTGATTTGGTATAGTCCTAGAGGCATGGTACCTATAAGACTGATTGATGCCAAGATGTCTACCTACCTGACAAGCGGCAAGCCTTCACAATTCGACAATATGCGGCTCGTAGTCTGTCACTTGATAGCATCTATGTTCTTCTGTATTATCCGGGCTGACAAGTCGCCACGTATAGGAGATTACCAGTCGTAATTTTGAGTTTCCTGCTATTGAAGCGCATCGGAGGGATGTGCTTTGATATAGTTTCTTATGCCTCAGGCACCCGGCTCCTGTGGCCCACTCTTATCATTCTCCTATCGGCACGTGACGCGGAGTTTGGCAGAAACGGAGAAAAAAAAAAAGAGAAAAGCGGCCTCGCGATTCCAGGCCCTGCACTTCTACCACCAGATCTATTTTTTTTCGCAGTGAGGGATTCGTCGACACCAAACAACTCCGCGAAAATGCCGATCCCCGTGGACTCCGCCAAATCTCTCTCCAAGAAGCGCAAGAGAAAGCACGGCGGAGGCGCCCGTCCTGCGACCGACAACGAGGAAGCCTCCCCA